GGTAGCGCCCGGTGACCCCTCCGCATTGCCTCCCCCCCTCCCCGTTCCCAGGAGGAAGGGTCACCCCTCTTCTACCTCTCTGCTTCTTCCTCAAAACTCTCGTTCCTCCCCTTCTCTCCTAGGGATCAGCCAAGCTGGAAAAAGCAGAGATTCTGCAGATGACCGTCGATCACCTGAAAATGCTGCATACTGCAGGAGGGAAAGGTAAAGTTTCGTGCCTGGCAGAGGGTCGGCAGCGAGAGGAGCGCCTTCCCTTCCATCTGCTGTGCGGGGCGCTGGGGGAGCGCTCGGAGGAAAGCGAATGGAAACTCTCTTCTGTTTCGTTAGGAATTTGGGACTTTCTTCTGCTTGACAAGATTTGCGGCATCGCTATAGCGCGGGAACGTTTTACAGCGCTAGCTCCGGGTTGTTGTAGGGGGAGAGTGACTGCAAGTCTCTCTAGCAATGTGTCAGCGCTGTGAAGGGAATCTGGCAACTCGGAAGACACAAAGTTTTTGTTGCTGTCAAGTGTTTGTTTCTCTAACTTTCTGAAAGTTCAGAACAGAAACTAGAAAAAAAACCACAGGCTGAAATGAGTAGTGAAGAGAATTAGGAGAAATGGTGAAATGCGCTTTTGGGAAAAAAGTGCGTTGCCTGCAGAAGTACCCTCTGATAAGTTAGGACTTGTGTTTCTAATGAATTTCACTGCGCTGTGGTTTTCCTTGCGCTGGGGAGACATGAAAAGAACAAAAGTACTTTCCTCCAGTGGCAGTGTGCAATTTCAGTTTAAAAATGGCAGTCTGTGACTGGTCTTGGGACTTGCAGCATCACAGCACAGATATAAAAGAAAAGCTTGTTAGACAAAAAAAAAAAAAGGAAAAAAAAAAAGCAGCTTGGCAGCTAATCTATGTTTGGGAATACTAACCACATCCCAGTGAAATATGCTTATAGGGGAGGGTGGAGTGGGGAGGCTACATGTAGACAATGACTAGAAAACAGCATCTTAAGACTCCATTCTTTGTTATTTTCTCTTAGGTTATTTTGATGCACATGCTTTGGCTATGGACTATCGGAGTCTAGGGTTTCGAGAGTGCCTGGCCGAAGTTGCTCGATACCTTAGTATTATAGAGGGTCTGGATGCCTCCGATCCTCTGCGAGTTCGACTTGTGTCTCATCTCAATAACTACGCCTCTCAACGGGAAGCAGCAAGTAGTGCACACACTGGCATTGGACACATTCCTTGGGGCAGTGCCTTTGGACATCATCATCACATATCTCACCCGTTGCTGCTGGCTCAAAATGGGCCTGGTAATACCAGTACTTCAGCATCTTCCACAGAACCACATCACCAGACCAGAATTGCTGCCCCACATGCTGAAACTTCCTCACTCAGAGTGCCCCCAAATGGCAGCGTTGGACCAGTGCTCCCCGTGGTCACATCTACTACCAAACTGTCTCCTCCTCTTCTCTCCTCCATGGCGTCTCTGTCTGCGTTCCCCTTTTCGTTCGGCTCCTTCCATCTGCTGTCCCCCAACGTGCTGAGCCCGTCTACAGCAACGCCGTCAGCAACCCTTAGCAAACCATACAGACCCTGGGGGACTGAGATTGGAGCCTTCTAAGAACTAACTCTTTAGTAAGGGTGGGGAAGCCTACAAACCTAGCTGAGCTGGGTTATGCCACACTTAAAATTGAAGTTCTTAATAACGGGGACAAAGGTACAGCTTCACCTTAACTAAGTTTGTCTAAAAAACTGTCTCTTTGGATTTTTCCTTTTGTTTTCTACGTTTTTGTATTAGCATTTTTTTTTTTTTAGTAGTTGCTGAAGTTGTCCAAAAATAAAATTACAATAGTGGTTGTTAACACTTGTGTTAGATCTGTGCTGAGCATTTAAATCACTTTTGTAAACAGTTTGTTTCAAATGTTTCATTTTTCCTGAGTACATCAGACTGCCTTTTTATGAAGAGATATCACATATTATTGTTTGCAACGGCCTAGTTTAGTTATTAATTTTTCCAAGACCACCCTTCTCAGCATTAACAAGCTGTGTTTTTGTTAGTATTTTGACCTTGAGATGTTCTATAAAGAATTACTCTTTTTGTAAACTATATTTGAGTCTTATATTTCTGAACAAAGCGTTGACAAATCAGATGGACCAGCTTGATCAGCTTTATTTCAGAGCCCAATTTCTATTTCTTCTGCAGTGGTTTGGTCTATTTGGTGGTCTTATTCTAGTCCCTAGTGGACATTTGCTCACATCTCAGAACCACTACGCTATTTCTCCCACCGAAAGGAGCAGTATGCTTCAGAGCAGACTAGAGTGGGGAGGGTGCAAAAGCCAAATTACACACTATATCAGTGGTGGGTTTAGTTGCTGGAGAAGTGAAAGGAGGGGAAAAAAAGGTTGTCATTGTCACCTGCAGTGGTGGTCTTCCAGCCAGAGCCAGCCATATGCATGCTCATTTCTTAGGGCCAGATTCTGCTTTGTGTTCCAGTGGAATAATTGTTCTGTTACCCTGTATTCTTGGGTAACTGAGAGCAGGTTATTTCCCTCTGTGAGCTTCAAATTTGCACCTGAAAGGAGTGATGCTGGTATTTAAGTAGCTAACGGAATGGTGCAGTGGGAACCCGTTCAGTGCACAGTCTTGTTGCTTGACAGATGTATCCTAACTGATGGCTTTTTCTGTTGGGTTTTACTTTCAGGTGCAGTTCAGTGCCACTCCTCATTTTGGAAGGGCTCTGCTGCATTCTTGTGCGTGTGAGAGTGTGTGTGTACATGTGTATTTTGGTTGATTTCATGAGAATCTTAATCTGAACAGGTTTATCTAGTGAGTTCCACTGGACGGGGTTTGACTGCTCTTGTATTTGTGTTGTGGCTAAATAAAGGAGAAAGAACGAAGTATTTTAAATGACATGTTTGTCTGATATATACATCATTGGAGAATTCTGTGCCTGTGGGTATCAATGGGACAATTGCTCCTTAGTCCTGCTGTGGGCTTTTGCATTTAATTTTTTCTCAAATATTGTGGCATACTTAGCTACACTAGCTGGGTACATAAAGAACTGCGGTGCCTCAGAATAACAGTCGAGGGAAGGAAAATGTAGGATACTTTTTGTGTGTCACTTTTACTTGCCTGGCAGCAAAGACTCCAGGGTTACTGCTAAGGAAGAGGTTAAAACTGCACTGCACCTGAATATTCTTACTGATTTGTATTAATATTAAGAAGTCATCCTCTTTGCAAATGCGAAGTCCTTTCCTGTCTAACTCATGGAATCTGTCCTATAGCTCTGTAATGAAGTTTTATTCCTAACATTCTGGTTTAGCTCACGTTCAGTGCATTAGTGCAGAATCTACCCAAGGTCTCTGACTAAGCCTATTTTGTTAATGAGTGGTATTACACTTTTTTTTTTTTAAAGTACCAACCTGACAGGTTTACACATAGGTAGGTCTTCTCCAGATACGGTCTCTCTTCTCCAGATACGGTCTGTCCTACCTGCAAATCTCTACCTGCAGAACATCAACAACTCCTCCTGGAAGTACCTCACTTCTTTCCCGTGCATTGGAATTTATAGTACACTTGTGTTGGTAAACGACACATCCTTGTCTGGATTTAGCTCTGCCAGAACAGCAGAAAGAGCTTGGCCCTGTGGGAGACGAGAGCTTTGTTTAAAGAGGGGCTCTCGGGCCAATTAAGGAGTGGCATTGATGAGAGGCTTTCTTGGAAGATGGATG